GATGTAGCGCAAACTGGGTATACTGGAGGGACGGTGTCTAACGGAACGAATCCGTCGGTCGCGCGGACAATCAACTAGCAGGCTTGCGCTCCAATGGGCTCGCAAGGCTGCAATGTCAAAATGATAAGAGACAGAGAGAGCTACTGCTACGGTTAAACTACTACTCCAGGATGTGTTTTATCTGCAACAGAGAATGACGCCGGTGTTGATGACGATTCCTCGGCAGGGACGCGCGAACGGAGCGTGCGTGCACGGTGGGTTAAAATTACAGAACGGTCGCGTGTCGGCTGCCTTGCTCGACTACGACTCTCCGGCTCATTCGTTTGGTGTGGGTGAGATTTATTTTGCTCATCGGTGATCGCTGTACTGAAGGGGATCGCGACACCTTCGTCAGGACCACGACTCGACCATCAGCGACAACGCACACTTGTGTGTTTTCTTTTTTTTTTTTTAGTTACTCACTACTGATCACGGAGCTGAACGGCATGTATCTGGGCTTCTCAGGTACCTTCGGCGCGTCTTTTCGACCTTCTGGGAATTTCTCATCGTTGAGAAGACCTTTCACCTAGCGAATCATTAACTCTTTAGCTTCTCGGAACGCGAGTCTGTACGGTGTATATAATTTGTAAGGTCTTATGGTTCACCTGTTCGTCGATAGCGTTAAACTGCCACTTCCACGTGTGATTGTAGAGGAAGGGCCGATGATCGAATCTGTTGTCGTCAGGACTGTAAGTCTCCGCGTGACAGGACGGCGTCAGGATGGTCATCTTGTGTCTATTTATCGCGTACCATCTGTAAAAGTGTTTCACCTTGTCTGCCACCTAAAAGATGTCAGTCGGGTATATTAAACCTTCCTATGTATATATTTGTAATATCGCAACGGCCGTGGTCTTTACTTCTTTCGGTGAACATTTCTCCCACATATGGACGAGTCTGCAGAACATCATGAAAGGGCCAGCGCACTCTTGTTTCCTTAAACGACCAAAGGTGCCGAGTTCCTTGTACGTCATACCCATGTCTACCTCGTCCAACTGCGAGAGCTGGCCTGCTTGAAGAGGCTCCAGTTCCGCGGTCGGCGGTGCGTCCAGAATTCCATCCAAAGCGGATAGTCCATGTTTCCTCCTGATAGGAACGCAATAGTTACGTAAGACGTCGTCAAAGTTGTCAAACAGTACGTCTACTTCCTCAAGTACTCACCTGAAATAAGCGAGGAACGACTTCAAATCATTCTTTGCAATTCCCCCTATGGGATTTATATCGGCGCTGCTGCAATCGTATTTAGTAAAGTATCCACGAAGGGCTTCGTCAACGTTACTGCTCCCCAACACGAGAAGACCACCAGGTCGTCCTCTGACCCATAGCATCAGTTGGGCGAACAGATAAGCGATCACCATCCTCAAACGTGCCTTAGAACATCATTACAAGCGATTATGAATGATATTAAATTCGTAACATGGAGCCATTTATCGAGAAGGCTCCATAGTACCGATGGAGGTATAGATTTAAATATCGCTAACTTGTATATTCTGCAACGCTAAACTCTCCCTGGGAGATCCTCCCTGCACCTTGAACCGTGGCGTCAGCTTGGTAACCTGCTGAAAGATGGTCAAGATAGCAGAAACAGCCACGTCGATCACTATACTGTGATGGTAAGAGCCAATCTGACTGGCCAGCTCGGCAGCTCGTGCCTTAGTCTCGGCGGAGGAGTTCTCGGTGCCCATGTAGCACGTGACGAGGATGGTGTAGCACAGTTGCTTAGGATCTGTCGGTACGTAGCTGCCGTCACCGACTATCTTTCTGATGTCTGACAGGACCTGCGCGTCTGATTACAAACATTCCATATTACAGATACATTTCTAGACGATTGTAAAACTATCGAAACAGCGCTTCACCTCCTTTGTTCACTGATTCCACGATCATGTCGCACATGGAGTACACTATGCACGCTGACGAAGCGGAGTCGACTCCACCGCTTAAGGGTAAAAAGAATCCACCTTGGCAGGATCGCCTGTTTTTTTAAAAAGCAATAAATGTAGGACCAGCGACCGATGACGAATTTTTCTAATTTTAAAGGGGAAGTAGCTCGACAAACCTGAGGTAGTCCCAGAGCCAGCAAGCAGGCGCCATGGAGATCTCCTCTACCGGAGTGTGATAAATGAGCTTGCCGGTTGGGTGTTCGTCTTCGTAAGGACCCAAGTCAACGTCTATTGGTCGATCAGGTGGGATCGAAATCAAATTCTCAGAAGTGAGCGCAAAGTCTACTTTGACTCGTGGATAACTGGACGACTTAGCGGCGGTGCGAGATCGGGATCTTATGTTGTTCCTGTAGCTCCTGTCGAAGAATTCAACGGTTAGCAATCCGTATCTAATACAAACAACAAAATGAAACTAGCCTTCGTAACGAACCTTATGTCTTCCAGATCGAACGTGGCGACCACGACCTCCACATCATTGAGGGCGAACTGCTTGCCACGATTCAAGATCTGACCGTTTAAGGTGATGGAGGAGCCCCCGTTGAAATAAAGTCTGGAACCGTCGCATCCCCGTAAATTGCTGAACATGTAACAACCGCCTGACTTGAAGGTGGCTGATTTCACGAGGTCCACTGTTACGTATCCCTTGCGAAGCTCGAAGTAGGAGCCGCTACCTTTGATGGCGAAGCAAAGGAAGAGAGGACTTTTTAGTACGTGGATTATACATATTTAGTATACAGTCGATCCCATAAGTATGCATACGAAGAAGTTCGACTAGATCGACTATCGAAGAAGTTTAACTAAATTAAATAATAGGTTTGATATTACCAAATAGAATTTCTCATTATACATATGTGTATGAATAACACATGCATATGCTTATACATGTATGTATTTATATCTACAGCAACGTATTTACAGAAACATTTACTTTAATCAAATTTGTTCGATGACATAGAGATTAAGAATATTTATGGGACATACTGTATATTTAATATACTAATTTTTGTAATATACTCCACAATTTTCAAAGATTGAGCTCCCTTTAAGGGTAGCCATAAGTATAGTATACTGATTCTATTAAAAATCAGTAACACTATAAAAAGACGACAAGGCCTAATCTAATGTTCATCCAAGCGAGTCTTATTCGATATTTTAAATTACGGATATGGACTACCATTAGCGATAATTTCCACGCCGTCCAAGCACATGGGAATGTGATTGCTCATAGGATTCCAGAGCTCCTCGCATATCTCGAAGCCCACGCACGTGTCCCTGGTCGAAATAACAGCGTCCCCGAACGGTACCACTGTCTGTCCAGTTATCTGAGAGATCATTCTCGGCAGGAAGTAATCCTCCACCGTCCGTTCCTGTACAACAGGCACAAAGTAACCGATCAATTCCATTATTCCTGATACGAAACGATACGGTAAGCGTCGGAATTGTCTCCAAGAACGACCTTGGTCCAGGCGGTGAACCATCTGGATTCTCTGTAATTCCCGTCGTCGCACATCTGCATCTTTGGCCTGATGAGTAGAATACGTCGGTTGAGAAACGCCACTCTGCAGTTATAGGTGACGTTCTTGTGCATGACGGGCATCCCGACATCTATCAGCATGCCCTCAGCCACGGGCGACTTCAGGATCGTCGCCAGGACTTCCCAGCTGTGGAGCAGGGTGTCTGGTTCGTAGAAGTGGTCCTCGCAGCTGTAACCGCTGGCGAACAAGTCGATCGGTCATTCCAAGTATTTCTCAGTAGTAGTAAAATTCAGCGCGATCATGGTACTAGATAATATTTCAGTTAATCCTTTGCACTCGAGAGGTGACATAAGGAAAGGCTCAGAAATGATAATCACCGATTGCGATGAAATTTGGTAGAGTGATCTACAGTGGATGTAGAATGTACTCGTACACCGATCAATTTCTCAAAAAGTTTTGTGTGAAATTTTAATTTATTAACTTCGTTTTCTATAATCAATGATTTTTCTACATATTCTCGGAAATCTATAATAGATATAGACCAAACAACAATTATTAGTTTATATAGTTTGCGAAATTACCAAGAAAATACGAAAAATCGGTAGAAATATAGAAGCAAGTATTCGTACTGTTCTTATCGACGAACTGTTTACAGTTGAGTTTTAAAACATAAACACATCAGTTTATTGCTTCGTACAAATTAGAAAGCATGAAATTTCCAGTACATAGGGAAATTTAGTTAATTTAAATTTCGTTACTTTATATAAATAACTAATTTTTTTGTACTGTGTCTATTCTAGAGATATCCAAGACTAGGTGGAATATCGTTGATAATAAAAAATAAGTTAATAAATTACAATTTCACGTAGTTTTTATGTTAGTTTAAATATGTTTAAATATGTAGTAAAAGCCTGTTGCTGACACAACTTCAAGCGGTATAGGTCAGCGGTATAGCGGCTAGCATGGACTTTTACTACGTATTCAAACTGACTTTTCTCAAAAATGGCTGGCCATCTGCGGCTAATATTATTACAGTTACAGCTTATTCTAGATATAGCTCTATCGCTCTACCAAATTTCATTGCAATCGATGAGTATCACTTCTGAGCCTTCCCTTGTCAGTCGCCGCTAGGATTCACGCAGCAAATCTATCAGCAGTAATGTTTCTTTAGGTTTAGTTTCTTTGGAACTCGAAGTGTCGATAAAATGACATCGTCGAAATCGGTCTAAGATTAGCATTCGTGGCAATAAAATACTAAGAAAGGATCTCGAGTTGCTGACAGATGCAAGAAGAAAGGCCTCGAGTGCAAAAGGTTAACTCGATGTTTACCAAATCTCCAGCTCAGGGCCGCTTCTGTAAGTGACGCCAGCGTCCTTGGCTTCCTGGATGCTTTGCAAGATCCTCCTGGAGTTCCCATCGAAGTCCATCGCCCACTGGTTCAGGGTGCACACCGCCACCGTCACCGTGCGACCCATCTTTCTCTAGCCGAAAATGAACTCCTTTGTTGGCGACAATAATTAAAGTCCTACCTGCAACAGAATGCAGGATACCGCGAATGACAAATGGAACCTTTCGAGGACGTTATCCGGCGCACTGACAGCACTCGAACCTATCGATTCGAGAGGTGATCGATCGGCCAGGAAAGATATTCGTTAAACGAAACAGCGGTTCTGTTCTCCAGTCTGGCGAACGTTGATTGATCAATAATTTTCAGAAGCAGGCGAGGGAGAGAGACGAGGAGAGAAAGATGATGTAAATTGCGTGACTGGCTCGCGCGACTATGCTAAAGAATGTCTGCGAATAATCGAAGGAAACTGCCGGGGAATTTCATCGAATTAGGCGATGCCAGCATGACTGTACGTCCATAGTTGGATACAATTGCAATTGTTGATTATACGCAGCACGTGGATGATTTACAGCATTGTAGTATTTTAAACATTTTCATAATCAGGGCCTTTATTACAATCTGTATTCATTATTTTTAAGCGCGAAAATCTTCTGACATCGATCGACGACTTACAAAAACTCAGATCAGGGTTAAAAAGTACAACCGGACCTCTGACTTTGGGCTCGATTATATCTACAAAATATTCGTCTGGATGGAAGCGATCTTTGAAAGTCATCCAATGCTAAGGAAACCTTTGCTACCGCTATCAGTTGTAAGTGATACTTTTATAAGCAATCCTTCGTTTTAACCATCGATTGCAGCATCGTGGCCGAACTCGAAGAGACTGGTGTATCGGAAGCAGACCTCGAAGGATCGATAAAGGAAGTTCCTCGCCGCGATACAAGCTTGGCATGTTACGTGGAGGCAGCACGACGAACCTCGAGGAACGAGAGGGCAACAAACAATCATGAAGCCAGTAGCTCCGCCCCCGTTTCGCCGTTGTCAGGCAATCGACGGGCCAGCGTGGAATTCGTCTTCCTCGAGGGCAAAGTTCCTGCACGCAGTTCCCTCGGTGGATCCGTCGAAGAACAGCGATTATTCCTCCAATTGAATCTCTCTTGTACAATGATCTCTGGACCAAACTTCCTCTTTCGATCGCCTATTCTCCTGCTCCTCGTAGACGTAGACCGGTATCTACGTAGTTGTAGAGTATAAGAAGCTGCGAGGATGCAGAGTGCAACGTGCGACTTGCATGGAAGGTCTATGGAAAATACTGCGAGGGAGGTACAAGACGAACAGTCGAAGCAAAATGGAGTAGAGATGAACAACGATGACGAGGACGGCAAAGAAGAGAGCCCGGAAGTCGATGGCGACGACAGATAACGAGAGATGACGGACTTTCTAACTGGCAGCAGGGTCCAAGAACTTCAAGCCATGCTTTTCCCAGTACAACCGATTCCTGGTAATCATGCTAGGAGCAGAAGTTAACAAACTTGTCCGAATACGCACTTTTAGAGATCATTGAACGTTCGATGGAGAGTAGAATTCAAATTGCAGAAAGAAATGATACTTCACGTATTATAAAAATTAATCTGCACACTTTTAGAGATCATTGAACGTTCGATGGAGAGTAGAATTTAAATTGTAGAAAGAAATGATACTTTGTGGCTTATAAAAATTAATCTGCGCGTATTTTGTACAATCTTTTACTACTTCTAATCGCAAGACGTTGTTTGCAGGGGCCTTGGCGAATATTCAGAGATTCCAAGAGCTGCAGCTGTTGCAGCTAGGACGCTACGAGGTACAGCGAGAGGAAACGGAACTGCCGTTGTTCTCGGTGCCATTCGGTACCAGAGACGATCACAGGTCGAAGGAGACCCTTCGAAGCGTTCTAGACACTCGCTGCATGATTGATGGAATCACTCAGGAAGCCGCCAGGTGGCCCACGGAATGCCAAGTAACAACAATAATTCTGTAGTTTTTCTTTCTTAGTTTTCGACGCTTTAATCCTAACTTTCTACGTAAATTTATATAATTCCTTAATGAAATTCCTTGGCACCCATTTATGGACGACGCGTCGGTCAACAACGTGTTAATTTAACATTCTCGTTTAATTAATTTATTTATCTCAATATATACGGGCATAACCCATTATAAAATCGACACAATAAAGCAAATAGCAAACAAATATAGTTGACAGTAGACAAATAAACAAATGCATATAATTATTAAGAAATAATCAAAACGAAGTTAACGCAAATGAATCACGGGATTACCTATAAAAAGCTTATGCAACCTATGTTTAGTAGTGTCAACGGAGTCAGTAAATTCTCTTGTCAAAATTCCAGGTACTTCCAGAAAGAGTGCGGCATATAGAGTACACCCCAGCAGTCCCAGAATCATTCTACGTGCCAACCGGGAGGGAACCGAGACCAAAACCGTTAGGGGACGACTTTGGGACGGTGGTGTTCCGCTACCATCCTGCCAGTATCAGCAATTACGTGTGTCAACCTCTATTACTAATCGATATCGTTGCCATAATGGCATCGCAAGCTCTGCAATTTATGCGACGAATAATTAATAGTTTAGCAGATCTTGCGTGGGCGGAAGCACGGTTCTACCGTTCGGAGCGGAATTTCCAGCGGACGGGATCGGAAACGAATCGAAGGACGTCGATGCAGCCAGCAACCTCTTCTTCGTGAGCAGGCTGCCCGAGGCGACGCAGAACGGCACTGATCTTCGGTTCGAGTCGCGTTTCGAGTCTGGAAATCTGTGCAAAGTCGTGAAGATCACCGACACGTACTATCAGCTTCATTTGAGGAAGGACCTCTACACGCAGAGGCACACGCAGTGGTACTACTTCAGGATATCGAACACAAGGAGCAGGACCACTTACAGGTGAATCTCGAACCTGGTTCTCTAATATTATTCTCTCTTTTATGGAGAACACCGACGATGGAACTATTTAAATAATTCGAACGATCGTAGAATATCAATCGTCAATCTCTGCAAAGAGGAAAGTTTGTACAACGAGGGTCTTCGGCCATTGCTGTACTCCACCGAGGACGCCAAGAAAAGATCCGTGGGATGGAGGAGATGCGGCGATAACATCGCTTATTATAAGAACGACTCGTCGTACGTCAATCCTGACAAATTTCCACATTCCTAGCCAGCTTCTCGCTAGCTGAATTCACGTGTTTACTTTTAGAAGCGACGAGGAGAAGGAGAAGCACACGTTGACGTTTAACGTTTCCTTTCCTCACGACAGGGACACCGTCTACCTGGCTCACTGCTATCCCTACACCTACACCGACCTCCAGGTAACAACCATTCGTTTAAATAGAAATGTACACCGAGAAAGCATATCGTAATTGGAATGAAACGATAGCAGGCTCTATCGTAATCGCAACGCCCAGTAGTATGGTTCCGTTTGGGTCGGGCATAGAGTAGCTTTCGGTAGCATTTGTCAGACATTTTCAAATGAACACGTTGGTGACGTTACTCGGAAACGGGTGACTGAAATTTTCAATAAGTGAACTAAACAAATTAATTTCCAAACGTGACACGATAACGAAAATAAATCTGAACAAGATTCGCGAATTAAACAGGCTAAAAAATTAAATACTACGACAAAATGTTACATTATCTAATCTCGAATTTACTATAAACGATACTAATCTAACGCTGTTCTATGCACTAAAATCGTAAGGAATACCTCTCCAAGCTCATCGCCGACCCCGTGAAAACGAGATTCACCAAACTCCGTTTGCTATGTCGCACGTTGGCTGGAAACGGAGTGTATTACTTGACGATAACAGCTCCAACCTTGGAAGAGGAGGTGAAGAGGAAAAGGGGCATCGTTATCACGGCGAGAGTTCACCCTGGAGAGACACCGTCCAGTTGGACGATGAAAGGGATCATCGACTTCCTCACTGGGGATTCTGACCAAGCTAGGGTACGCTGGAATAACACCCGAGTTGCGCAGAATTTCAATCGAGAAGAAGTATTAGGTGAACTGGAAAGTAATATCGTTTTTGCAATTTTAAATACTTGTTTATCATTCATCAGCTCGTTGATTTTTATCAATCTGACATTGACAATTTTGCACACCTGATGGCAAAAGGCTGCTAATAACGAGGGCGATTACATAATTGATATTTATTACATTTTTTACATATTATTACATATTTCAATTTAATTGTAAAAAAAACGACATTACTTTCCAGTCTACTTAATATTAGAAGTATTTAGATCGCATCGCGTTCCAATTACGTTTTATTTCAATTGCAACGACAAACTATAGCTATGTCTACCTTCCACGTTAAAAATTCCCAAAGATTTACCCCACTTAAGCATTCACAAGCCTTGAAGGTACGTAATCGCTAACAGGTACTCCGAGAGAGGTTCGTGTTCAAGCTGGTGCCAATGTTGAACCCCGATGGGGTGATCGTGGGGAACAATCGGTGCTCTTTGTCGGGGAAGGACCTGAACAGGCAGTACAGAACCGTAATGCGCGAGAGTTACCCATCTGTATGGCACACGAAACTGATGATACGCAGGCTGCTAGAGGAGTGCGGGGTGGCGATTTACTGCGACCTGCACGCCCACTCCAGGAAGCAGAACATATTCGTCTATGGGTGCGAGAACAAGAGGTCGTCTTCACAGACGAAACTCTCCGAGCAAGTGTTTCCTCTGATGCTTCACAAGAACGCTGCCGACAAGGTAAACATCGATATAATTAATAAAGATTAATTAATCTCTTTCTATATCGATGAACGCTTTCAGTTTTCCTTTGAGAATTGCAAGTTCCACCTGGAGAAGGGCAAAGAGGGCACTGGAAGGGTCGTGGCTTGGTCGATGGGGGTGCAGAACAGCTACACGATGGAGGCGTCGATGGGAGGATCGGTAATCGGGTCAAGATGCGGCAGCCATTTCTCTGTTCAAGATTACGAGCAGATAGGCAAAGTGTTCTGCGAAACGTTGCTGGACTTCTTCGATCGGGATCCCTTCAAGGTACTCCAGTGGCTATCGACGATGCGAAACCGTCTGTGCGAAGCTGTGCTTCGTTTTTAATAGTTCTATAGTTCCCGATCAATGAAACTAGTACTTCCACCAATTATAACTATTGGATAATATTTTAACTCTTTGCACTCTACACTATCTCGTTGCAAAACATGCGAACAGGAATCGCATTACATAAAATAGTCTAACTTTGGAAACGTGTCGTTTTTGGTATTATTAGACTTGATTATAAATTCTTCTAGCTTTCTTGAAGCGATGACACCGCTACAAACATAAATCCTTTATGGTGTTACTAATAAAATTTGTTAGACTTACGATGTCCCCTGATAGGGTTAAACACAGTCCTCGCACAGACCGCTAAACCTTACGGCAATATGGCTTCTCATCTCGTAATGTTTACCCCCCCAAAAAACACCACCACCTGTTTGGACCTAATTGAAGGAACGACTTCGAAACAAAATAATTGCAAGACTGACGAAGGAGGGTTCTAGCGCCGAAGAACCGACTAACATCGATTTAACAGACTACTCTAGGTAGTAATCAAACGTATTAATATGTTAGAAATATTCCACGATAGATACTCGATCTATTTTGTCGATTTTATTTGATCAGCGACGAAGGAGACACATCGGACAGTTCCTGTTCAGAAAAAGAAACGGAGTTCACGGAAGGGACATGGTCGTGCGAGATAACAGGGTCGAACGATTCCCCTCGACACCTTCGTGTGCCACCGTCGACACCCACATTCGTTCCACCTCGAAGCCTCGAATTGGCCAAGAGGAGGAGTAAAAAGGGAGCGACGACCAGCAGGAGTTACTTCCAACGCAAGAGGATACTGGTAAAATCGAGCGTGCATATAATTTCCAGATATAATTAATTTTTGTTTATTGAAACTCTTTTTACGTATAAAGGGACGTTCGAAGAAGAAAATTTGACAGTGGGTGTTCAAAAAAAAAAGCATTCAATATTTATATGGTGTATAGGGCACACTGTACCGAGTAAAAAAGCTTTAGTAAACATATAAAGATATATGTATAAAAAAAAGTTTCAATAACAAAAATGAATTATATCTGGAAATTATACGTATTAGAAAAATACTTTAGCTGGACCCCCAAGACTTCCCTCTTAAATATGCACGCAAAATAGAAACCTCGAGCATCGAATGAGAGGTCGAAAATAAAAGGGTCAAAATAGATCGCACGAGTCTGTAGATAATTTGCGAATTTCCACATAGGCCAGAAGAGCAGTAATGGATTTGCCAGTCACGGATCCAGGCAGCGACTTGTACTTGAGCGACTCTGCAGACGAAGGCGCGACGAGACCAGAAGGTGCAACCGATCAGCTTATTTTAAATTGGTGCACGATTATTCTAATAGAAAACTAGATGGTTACCCCGAAAGGTGGAATTTAAATGATCGTGCATCTACTTAAAATAAGCCAATTAATCTTTATTACTAATTAAGTTTGAGAGTTAATCTTGAAATATTGCTTCCACGAAGGGGACACTGGCCAGACGCTGGACAGAGAGATGCAAACAAACGAGAAGGAGATGGTCGCCAACGATGAATTGGTTCTGCCAGAGATAGCGAGACCTCGTAGCGTATCCCTGGATGAAACCTTAAGCGACAACAAGGAGAAACGAAATTTGAACAGACGACCCCGTTGTCTTCGATTGGTCAGGTGAAGACGCGTCTCGGGTTAAATATTTTCGTACCTTGACAACAAATAAACAGTAGCGATATTTCATTAAGACTCTTTCCTTGCGAGTCCGTTTCAGGTACAGGAAGCAATTTAATTTTAATTTCATTCAATTTCAATGTAATCTCTATTTTACAATTCGCGCAGGACGTTGAGACACCGATCGCCGGTTCCTTTAAAGAGCCAGGATATTCAAATTAAGCTGAGCTCGCTGAGGCAACAAATATGGATGGGCGTGAATTCGTTGAACGCGGAGGACAACATCGAAAAGAGGATCGAGCGTCCTTATGCCAAGGTACCCTTGAGCTGGGGAGTTTCCAGCATGGCGCTCGAACAAGCCAGAATGGATAGCGACGCGTTGCTGAAGTACGTTTATTTTCGTTGCTCCCTATTTTTACAAAACAACTCATACTAGTCGTCTAAACACAAAGAAACGCTAAACAAAATTTCAGCTACGGTTAGCTGTAGTTAGAGCGTCGTTTAGTGACGAGAATGTGAACTACCTCGCTGCAAACTTCTCGTGAGTCAGTCTTGCGATGCTATTCTCATTATTTCAACCGATCTCTGTTTCAGATCTTGCACGAAAAAGCTGCAGTCCCTCGGTTACATCGAAAGAACGCAAATAAAGTGCAAACGCGAGCAAACGACGGGCACGAGAGACGCCAGCCCGGAAGTCGAGGACCAGCGCTGCGACGTTGAGCCAAAGTCGAGAAAGAAAAAGTCCCGACTTAAATGGCAGAAGATAATCAATTTCAATTTGAAACAATGGTACGGTCCATCGCGAACACGTGTTTAATCATAAAGGGTGGACCACGCAATTGTTTCAAGTCGTAACTCCGTTACTATTGCATTTACGAAGAAATGCCAAAGGAGAAAGATAAATGGTTCGAAGAGCACTGCATCTGTAGACCTTAACATTTTTTTTTTAGATGCAACAGTCCATATGCAATTAACAATTGCAACGTTTCGTTAAATAGAAATGCATATTTTTTTTTTACACAGATCGATTATTCCGTTCATTCTACGTAAAAAGTGATTAGGGTACATTGGCAAAAAAATGATTAGTTTTCGAGGTATTTTCAAAAAATGTCTTTACTGAAGAAGATGCTCGTAAACGAAATAATAACGGAGTTATGACTTGAAACAATTGCGTGGACCACCCTGTATTTGTTCAACTTTTGACTGCAGGACGATTTTTTACACACCCTGCATATCCTGCTCGTCGCGTTCAAAAGGTTAAGCGAATTAGCAAAGGATTGTTTGATAAATAATTTCAGTTCTAGAGTCAAGGAAACATGCCGCAGCAAGACGTCCTTTTTAACGATCGACGCCGATTCTATGAACCTAGTGACCGTGGAGGTGCCTACGAAGACTCAAACCAGACAACGTAGGATGGAGTCTAGAAGGAAGAACAGGAAGAGTGGCGCCACCTGCAGCAACGCCGCGAAATCCTCGAGCGTGGTAAAGTCGCAGTCGCGATCTCGAATGCAGCTGCAGCCGTTGATCGTTCCACTGTGCGATAGTTCCTCGTCGGAGGACTCGGATTCCCATAGACAAAGGGGGTCGAAGAAGAAGCAAAAGAAGAAGAAGCAACCGAAGAAGATCAAGTCGACTTCCGCGACGGAAAGAAAAAAACGCTCGGCCAGCGCGGGCGCGTTGAGGACCTCTTGAAACGAATTTTCTACGCAAGACGAATGTTTTGTAACGTTTTTATCGATATCCAATGTCTTGTCCCAGTTTTTTAATACACGTTGTCCGAATACGTCGATGAAAAACGTTTGGCAGAACTGTCAGCGTTACACTGATCGACGAAAAAAAAAATATATATATATATAAAAAGAGAAATACCACGTTGTGGAATGAATATAATAGTAATGATAATACGTCTTTATTGTATCAAGATTGTATACATCGTGAAATTGATTGCTGATCGAGCACAGAATGAAGATTAATGTAGAAAATGAAAAAATAAGTGTACATTCGGTGCAAAGGCGAGGCACAGTTGTACGCTGTCGTTGAACCAACCTTGAATATAAGTACATGCACCCTCCTTCACGCTACGTTTAATTCAAGACTTCGCTATACATACTGTATACATACTGTATATGTCTTCCATGGATTATACTTTCATAAAAGAGAGCGCGAGACGTAGCAAGATATAGTATCGTAGATGTCGCGAGCCAAGTTTTTATCAGTGACGGTACTTTTAAACGTCACCGCGCCGTAATTCGCTGTATACTTAAAGATTGCAGCGATCGTTATGTAACGAACGTTTAACGAGATAACGAGGGTCGTGCTACGGCAATCAACGAGACAATTAATCAGAGCACTTACGATTTCTCGGTGGTTCAACCTGGATATCAGGGATATTCTTGGCGTGTTTGCGTATCGATCTATTAGCCGCGCATTCTTTGAATGACATGCGCGGAAATGGAGTCCTCCACGTGCTTTTTAGCAGGAACCTGACAAATCACTGCTCCAATGAAAACATAACCTCACAAACCGTTATCAACGAGCTCGTTAACAATCTTGATTAGCATAGCTTGCTACCTTCGCGATGCACTATTTCAGACGAAGACATCGGTAACGATTATCTTTTTTCAATGGAAAACTTATGAAAAAATACAGCATCGAGGGATTTATAGATCCTACGTATCGCGTTCCGACACGTTATCACCGATATATCCGAATGGTAATTCGATCTTTGACACAGTCCGAAACGCGATAAGGTTCTTTATACGAATCACCAAGGATCAATGTCCATTTGCATACTTTTTTTTTTTATTGATCTTCACTATACAAATTTGGTTGACACGTCCGCCTGCTGTCCGCGATAACACACGCGATAACAGCTGCTGTTTGTATGACTTGCTGCCATCTGGTGTAGGTGCACGGAACAAAATTTTGTTCTTCGTTTGCTGTTTATTAAAATAAACAGAATGTGGATGGGTACGTAATTTAAACCTGTAGATAGAGGTCTATAAGCCAGAGGTATAAAGGTACTAATAGAAATATTTAAATAATGTAAGGGATATCCGGATATATTTATTGGCGGGAAAGCAGAGAGAGAGAGAGAGAGAGAGAGAGAGAGAGAGAGAGAGAGAGAGTAATTAAAAGAAAAAAATAACTAAATTTACTGAATGAATGATCATAAGATATATATTTGCATCTTTAGGCAGATGTATTACTTTAGCCAGAAGTATTTACTACAAATTACCGAATAATAATCGTCGTTCAACTACGCGTTTCCTGGGAGGAAGGACCGCCATCCTCGCGACGCTACCGACGGAATCAATACAACATCGCTACTAGCGCGTACGTTCAAATTTGCTTGCATGAATAGTTACGTGTACTACTTAATATTAGGTTGTCCCGAAAGTTTCTTTCGCGAGTTGCACTCAATTATTTGATGTGGACGTGTTTATATAAATAGCCAATCTAATTTCATAGATATTCATGTTGTAACAGTAACGGAGCAAAATGAATCGTGCACAATTTAGTAATGTAACATAAAACATAAACTGTTGTGCATGTATTACTTATTAATAGACTGCGGATCTTTATGCAAAATAAAATCTTCGCGAACGTGCTTAAAAAAATTGAACCTAAGTAGGAGTTAATTTTATTCCGCAATTATTATAACACGAATTTTACTTTCAGTTTTGTTTATATGCTTGCATATTGTTTGCATTTTGTAGCTTCTCGCACATTCAGATTTCTTATAAACGCATAAAGATGCGCAGTCTACTTATTAACAAAGCGAAAGTAATAAGAAAATAAGTTAACAAGTTACAATTTTACACAGTTTTTTTGGAAATTGATCGGTATATGAATACTTTCTACACCCACTGCATGCACGAAGAAAAATAGAATGAATCTTTAGCGTTGGTATGGCAAGTTAGTGGCGTGATCTACGGTCTCGAATGAGAACTATTTCTTTACGATAAGCTTATTTTGCAAGGGCTTATACGTTACAATATCAAACGAGTTTACTTACTTTCTCAAAAATAAGTACGAAGGCAGGGATCGAGGAAAATTGATTTTCTTTTCGATCTATAGGAAGGTAATAAGCATAATAAAAATCATTACGTTCCTCAGATTCTTCATCTTTGTATTTGACGAGAGTAAATTCGATAAAAATCTTTAGTACACAGCACATTACATGAATTAAATTTGAAGTAACTTGATTATAATCGAATCCGTTGTGTCGTTAAATGTTTTACTTGTAGAGCTTCTGAAACGTGGTCGAAATTTATGAAGCACTGAGTCACCTCGTTCGATATTATGCCCTCCTAATACAGTATCGTAATGCTGATGAAATGTGCTCCTAATAATCTGAAAATTAAAGTTCGCTAAAATTCTTGACAAAAGCATCGCATTCGTATCGCTAACAATTTACATAAATTTATTAGAGAAACACAACGTACCTCGGAAACTTTCTTGGTAAATTATCGACCACGGTATCGACAATAATTCTAGATAGGAAAAAAGTAATTGAAAACGTTCCACACGATGATGATTCAAAAACAAGGGATGGAAACGTTTGGCATGTGTAGCAAAGACAAATCATATTACGCGTCTATTAGTTTGCATAGATTTTTCATTGTTGGCCGGAGGTGCCTATTACTTGTGCGTACCAAATAGACAAATTATACACGAAATGAATGCGACGACATCCGACACGATCGTCGATCGATAGTAATAGACAGCGACTGATATTCAACCCACCTGTAAATAACGTTCGCGCGTACGGGTTTCGACGTTGCCCGATTATTTTGTGTCATTAAGTCAGAAAGTCGGGTCATCGAGCATTGACCTGGATGTCCGGCGATTGTAAGCGTAAGTGCACGTAAGTTCTTTGTTCCCACGTAATGTCGTCTACGGGAATATGGATCGCCTTGTATAATATAAGGATAATTCTTACGCGAGCTGCATCACTTCCGCAATTCCGACGTAAAATGTTGCCTCATAGGTCGCAACCGCGACACTGTGCGATTTCAGCGAAAATTAGGGAATAATACCGAATATCGATCGACTGCCTCTCGAAACGATTTCTTCTCTTTCGAGATATGCGTTTCGAAAGATCGTACATCTCCTATATATATATACGCTGAGGCTACATCGCTGTTTTTTGATTCGTTAACTACGTTTCATCTCGGTAGTTATTCCGTAAATTTATTTGAGCTTTCAACAAAACTTTATCCGATCGTTCTTTGATTACTATCTATCTATCATATCAGCCTATTTTGATTTACCTATTTTTGATTTGATTCACAGTTTTATGAAAAACTTTCGCAATTCAAGTATTAGATCCTTATGGAACGCACAGATTTTCACGCGAATTTTTTCAATTTAAATCGAAACGCAGTTTAGAAACTTGCTGAAAATTTCATACGTTGTAAATATTGAAATTATAAAGCATTAAAAAAAAAAAAAAAGAAAGCCAACAATTATTGTCCGTTAGTGAGGTATAAATGATTAAAATCTGAAATTGAAATAGAGAAGTGTAGTGGCTAGAAGTAGCGTATATTGAGGACGCCCTGTATCTTCTCTACGATGTAACGAAATGAAAATGAAAATTAAATGAAAATTACCAGAAAAATTCTTCGATGTACCTCTATCACATGTAAAAAAAAAAAAACCATTTATACGGGCCACTTGGCGAAAAAGAAACGTAAAACGTCAACACTTTCTCAACCCTGAGGCTCCCCTTTCTGTTTATCGGCCACCGCATTACTTTTAATTAGATAAAGGAGCCAGTAGCAGGCAGTTAGGCCAAGAAATAATAGATAGCTCCGCCTAAAGGAATGGAAGATTACATAATTGGAAGAGAGACATAGGAAACGTTCCGTGCTTCCTAGGAAACAGAACGAGCTGCATTGTATTGAATAAACGATATCGTCTCGGTCTTTATCGAAAGCTGCGATCTCGCGGAGAGTGTTTCACGATCGCATAGAGTTAATAGAATCGCTAGAGCGCGTAGAGATATTATAGATAGAGCAGGGGGATAGAGAACAGATAGAGAAAGATACAGTGCCCTGTCTATCTCTGTGCTTTAGATAATTAATGCGAATGTAAAATATACATTTAATAAAGTACCCCGATTTTCTGTCTCCGTCTATAATATCTCCACGCTGGAGCCGCGGCATTTACAAATGGTGTAACGATAATCGAAAAAGAGCATTGTTTGTAAATGACGATAGAGCCTCGCGACGAGGGATGAGCGAGGGAATCTAAAGCGGAAAGAGTTTTGCGTTTTCGATGACTCGACGCAGAATTGATTAATTTTTTTTTTTTTTTTTAGTAGTAATTTAGTAAGTGCAATTATCGATTCTAATGGAAGCGTGACACAGCGATTAATTAGCTACGCGAACCTCTGTCCCAAGTAGGGGTGGTCGTAGAAAGGCCCGGTTATAAAAGCGATCGCGGCAAGCTGGCCATCCAGTCCGGTGGTGGTTCATCGGCAAGTACTCGTCGTGTGAGTGGTGCGACAAATAGGTGGGTGGACCATTTCCTCAATCTCTGCCCCGTGACCGTGGAGATCCAGCGTGCTGCTCGGCAAATTGTTCAGAGTGCTGTGAAACTTCAAAGTGACCGATTCGTGTGGCAAAACGTTTGGCCTACTTCGTCAATCGAGACAGATTCCTTTTCAAAACACTTACAATCGGTTTCGCGATCGTCAAACGGAGTACAACGAGTCGTTCTTGTAAATCCGATCACGTTAGTCCCCTGTTCCAGTTAGCCTGTTGTCTAATTTAATCATTCCGAGACGCTCTACATCTTTAGACCGAGATTTAATTTCTTCTCGTGTTTGTGACGTTCGCTTGCTGTTTCAAGATTTTTCATTCTTTACGTAGTCCTCTCGATCCAAGACAAAGTTGCGCGTTAGTTGCTCTACAGCACGTACTTTCGGCGCATAAATTTGCTTTCCTACGTCTAATTATTTTCGTGATACCAGACAGAAATACACGAATCTTCTGAAAAAGAGAGAATACCTACAGTAGTGCTGTTATAGAGATCTAGCAGGATTATTATCGTCTCGTATATTTTTCTGTATAGCGAAATCTGTAAATATTTAATTGATATTTAGTGTAGAGTGGGTCACGACTAGTCTTAATTTTATGCATTCATGGTATAAGCCGATACAGTAA